AAAACTTTCAACCTCTGTAGCACCAGTGCTATGTGGAAAAAAAAGTTAACGTACAGCCCTGTTTCTCACATGTCAAGCAAGCATGCTTCAGGTTCCAGGCTCTGAAATTTATGGTGGGACAGAAGTAGGGTTGGGAAATCGAAAATCGATTCCAATTCCAGAATCGTATACTTAAGGTCAGGAATCGGATACTTGTTGTAAAATTTTAATTTCGATTCCGCCTGTCGATTCCTGTGTGCGCTTTTCTTTCTTTCCTTTTTTTCATCTGTGAGGACCTGGCCTAGCTTTCTGCCAGGACCTTGCTTGCTAATCTAAGCGCTCCAAAGTTTAGGCTACACTTGGGATCAGAAGCCGAAAAATCTAAGTATAATATTTGTAATAAGCTAAACATGTTGCAAGAGAGGAGACACCACCAACATGACAAAGCACTTTAATTTAAAACACATTTCAAACACCAATGTGATTCTGTTCCTAAATTACAATGATTCATCTGTTTTCCTCAACCTTTTAGGTGTGCGATCACAACGTTGTGATCACTCTGGGTTCGTCCGTGCAGCGTACGATCACGTCAGTGTGTGATTTGAACATTTAAATGTGCGTTCGCACTGCCGCTGACCTAAAGAGAGCAGCTGTCATGTATATGAATGAAGCAGCTTCACAGTCTTTTCAACCACACAGTATCATTATTTCTGTGTTACAAACATTTAAATAATCACAGAAGTACTGGGATAAAAGTTTATAGTTTGGATATAAACTCTGATGTGTATGGTAGTGATCGAAATAGAGTAAATCACCTTTTGAAAGTAATTTGACACGTCAAATAAAGATTTATCATTACATTGTTATGCCAGTAGTTGGCGAAAAGGGGCTGTAAAAATGTCTTTGAATCATTCAAGAGATTCGTTCAAAAACACTGATTCATCCAGTAATGAAAAACCCCCCCCCCTCCCCTATTTTGATGATTTGCTTTTGTTTGAACTGTTTTTAATTTTGTAAAATTATTTTTTATTTTATTTTTGCTAATGTGCGGTGGTGCTAAATGAGCTTAAACTTCCCATCTGTAATTAATAAATAGTGTTAAAATCTGGAAGATTTTACTGTGCACTTTTCCTAAAATCAAATATGCCACAGCAACAGAGTGAACGTTTGAAAATCATTATTAATATACATTTTTTTTACGATATAATCTGAGAGACACTTTATTAGGTGTATTGAAATGATCAATTAAAAAAAGAAAAAGTTAATTAATTGCTTGCAAACTTATTACCAAGTCCAAAGTATTTTATCATGTGGTAGTTGATAATATCCAGCCCTAGTTTGTGTATACAAGTATTTTAAAACCCGATTTTGTGATGATGCAATAGATGGCAGTAACTCTGCTGGAGAAGTGCCTGACTGTAGTGAAATTACCTTGAGAGCTGCAGACTTCAGCTACAGGTTGTGTCTTTGACTAGAGAGCCATTTTCTCTTTTCCTAAGCTCTTAAGACACTTCGGTAATGACATGATTATGATATTTAAAGCTAATTTAATTAGTGCATGGCTATTGACGCACAGGTGCTGATGGGTCAAATTTATTTAATTTTAATCCATTGGCGGCATCATACAGCTGTACAAATTACTGTGATGGTTTGTAAACAAGATGATGTCTAAATGCTTTATATTTTACAGCTTAGGCTGAACGCATGTGAACACTACTCAGATGACTTCACTACTCATTAACTTTTCATTCGTCTAAAGACCGCATTCGTCAGACACGCTGTCTTTTCTTTTCACTGTTCAAGGGTTTATTTGGCTTTACATATGCGATTGTTATAAACTCTGTGGTCAATTTCCTCAAATAAAGGGGTCATCAATTTAGAAATCAAATTTTACCTGATCCGAAAGAAGGAAATTAACTGGAGAAGATTTCCATGTCGAAGAGGGCGGAGTCTCAACGCACAACCCAGATATTAAACATCCTACAAGTTTCATCCTTCTCGATACAAAAAGAGCCTTTATTTTAAGCCAAGCTCCAAAAAACTAATTTGGGTATTGTGTTTCTTTTTATATCACAAGGGCAAATACATTTCCATATAACTGCCTCTGGAGTAAGATATCGATCCATTGACACCCATGGCTGTGACGCCCTTTCTACACTAAATGTGAGTGCCACATCACGTCAAAAAACAAAAAATGGAGCCAATTATATAATCAATGACATTGACTACATTAGAGGAAGTAGACAGATGCCCTGTGCTATTTCTGATGTACTCCACACGCTTGAGCTACTCCTGACAACAGGGCAAATGGATGAGGAAAGGAGGTGATCTTTTTGGAATGTTTACTTTGACCCCAGTGTTAGGAACGAGTGAATAATTATTTTTAACATCATTTTGGATCATGTGAGAGGATTTTGTGCTTTGTTTGTAGTGTTTCATTGCAGATTGTTTTGAAAATGAGGCACAATGTACGAATGAATTTGGTTGAAGAAACTGTTTGCAACCACAGCAACTGCATCATGAAGCATGTTTTCAAAATACATACTCAAATGCTGTAGTAAGGGGAGTATTGATATGTCTTCTTGTGCAATTATGTTAGCCAATATTAACAGTTGCTGTTTAATGAAGAGCCTTGAAGGAGCTGCACTGCTATAATGGGGTATTTTTGTCATTTTTGTAAAGTTGTGGGGAAAAAACCCCCTCTAGAAATTAATAATCGAACTTTTGAGTTTGTACTTATTTGTTGCACCCTCTTCTGGACTGATGATTTCAAAATCCGGTGTTTACTGGTATTGTCCTAGTTGAAATACTGTCTTTAAAATTTAAATGTAAATACTTTTGGAAATATTTAAATGCCCTCTTGACAGCCCTAATGTTTATTAGTTTTTGATATGTTGCGGAAGGGCATTACAACATAGTTCACCTTATTTATTGTGATCTAATTTATTTTTATTTATCAGTGTTATATCTATTTAAGTGCGTGTATTTATTATATATTTATTTTAAGTTTTTTTTTTAAGTTAATTTCTTTAAAACAGTTAAATAGTTATTAAAATAAAAGTTCACCCAAAAATGAAAATACGAGAATACTTTTTGTGACTATTCCTATAATCTTGTCCTCGGTATTGATCAAAATCATGATTCGTTATTGATTATTGTCATAATTAAGCAACCTGAAAAAAACTATTTTTAACTATCTCAGCAAAACACTCCACTGACCTTAAAAAGCAGTTTACGGCAATGCTTCATTAGTGCTCCTTTCGACAACGGAACAATGCATTTTGCATTGTATTGTGACTTTTTTTTTTATGTAACAACACCTGAGCTTTCATAGCTAGAAGCGATTTCATGTGCTTGCGAGTATCATTTCAGCTGTATACTATCTGCCTGGTCCTCTTGGAGGTCTTACTTGGCAACATAATTCCCAGACTTTTGAGGGGGATTCCAACTCCTAGAAAAACAACACATCAGGGGGCAGTTTTGATTTCTCTCTGCAAGACCTTCTGGAGGCTTCTAGCCCAGCATGAGGAGCTCTCCATGGGGTGGAGCTAGACTTTCACTCCCTGCTAGCATGAAGAACACTTCTTAATTACAGAAGATTAAAACCAGTCTCCTGCAGAGTTATGTTGGGGGCCAGAATCTTTCTCTTCATTATTAATAATAACCCAGCCTCAGTGTTGCCCAGTGGACTGTGCCTACACCTCCTCCTGTAGCCAAGTGCCCTTTTACCACCCCATCCCCTTTTGGCTGTTTGTGTGCCGTCAGTCCCTGCAGTTTGACTCGATCTGGCATCCTCTACGAGTTGTTCATATATAGAGTGTTCCTGCAGTCTGCTTTGAATGCGCTCCCACTGAGACAAATGACCTGCGCTTCAATTCACACTCCGCCAACACAAACAAGCTGAGAAATGTAGCACTTCTTAATGAGTTTTAATTACAAATGTGATTACAGTTGAAGAAGGACTATAGCCGTCTTTGTGCAAAGTGGAGCAGAAGCTTATGCATTGAAAATTATCTTCATGACTGGAGTGGATTTGGATATTGGATGTATTCTCGGTTTTCACACTTGTTTCGGTTGCTTTGCTTGAACCCTTGTACGATTCTACACCTAACCCAAATGTTTATTTGCTCAGAATGCTGATATGTTTGCTTCATTACCATGTGTATTAACAACGTTTATTTTTTGTAATTTTTTTTTTAAACCACTGTAGAAAACTGCCAAAAATATAGTTTTTTGCTTGGCATTTTAGTTGGGTTTGCTGTTTGCGCTTATTTTTGCTCATACTTGAGTGTAGTTTTGGACGAACAAGCACAACTTGTAAAAGTTGCAAAAATGTTGGCACTAATAGCCTGCAGTGTGGTTGTGCTTTGAGCGACTTGATTGCTCTAGTATCTACTTCACTTCCTAACCAGACACAATTTTAAAAAGAATTAGAATAATTCTTAAGACGTGACATGGCTACAAGACGCGACACAGCATAAAAAAATCATAGCTAATCTGAGAGCTTGTGGATGGGCTCTCTTTAGAAGCTCTCTTCATGCTGCTGTTCCCCACAACAAAATGAATAAATACATAATCAAAATACAAATTCAGGTTGCAGAAGTAGTTTCACAATGTTATTTGAATTTATATTGTTCACATTAGTGGTTCTCAATCTTTTTGATTCCATGGCACCCCATTGTTCACAACAATATTCAACCCCCCTCTTGCATTCTGTAATTTGAAGAATTAAAATATTTTAGTAACAATAAAATATTTTAGAGCTTGGCAGACTAAAAAAAATTATGCTTATAAAAATGTTGATGGCTTTTTAAAATTTACATAAGTTTTCCAGGTATAGAAGTCAGGCTTTTGAAATTAAAAATGTATTTTAGGTCATCTTGAGGCCCCCTTGGAAGTTTTCTGAGACCCCTTAGGGCCCCAGCTCCCTAATTAAGAACCACTGATAAATATATGTGCAAAATTGTGGATTTGTTGTTGTTGTTGTTGAAACTGACATAAGGTACTTGTTTAATTTCAAAATGGATTTGTTGTTCTTGATGCAAGTCAGGCCAATCTAATGAACCCCAAACTTATAATGGTCTGCATGGGTAGCTCTTGTTTTAAAATGCCCTCAGTGTAACAGTTTTTGCCTGTTCTTTTTGCAGTCGCCTACTAAAGCTGTGTATAATGCAAGACACTGGAACCAGCCAGAGCCAGAAGAACTGCTGCCCGTGCCTCCATCACGATCTCAGGCTCCTCCAGTGAGTAACACCAAGCACCAGATATATTCGACTAAACATTACACACTCCTACACAGTCACAACCCACTTTATAAAGCACTTCAGCACTGGCACTTCTCATGCGATCACCACAATGTTTATAGTCACCATTGTGTAAAAACTCCGACCTCTTTGATGCCACTCCACGCATTTTTGCTCTGGTGTCTCCCCAGTGTGTGAGACGTTGAGCAGTGATAGCTTAACACCAGAACTCAACTGTTATAGTCAATATAAAATAGGCCTTTGCAAAAAAAAAAAAAATTTTTTCGATTAATCGTTTTTTTTTTTTTTTAAATGATGTTGTGAATCGATCTTTTTCGGTATTTATTTCAGCAAACATGTAACACAAGATCTGAACACAGCAATATGAGTGATTTGCAATACTCAGGTGAAATGCTATACAACCCTCTACATTGCGAGTAAATCACTCGCATATGCGACTAAATGGTAAAAAGTGTGTAAACTCTTTGCTTTTTTCTCGCATGCAAATAAAGTCTTACATATCATGCAGAATTTACGCGCTACATGTAAACGATATACTTTGTTGTATTTTCCTATCAAAATAACGGAGTTTCTTTGGAATTCTTCAGCTTTTAAGAACTGCCGGGTTCTCCAGTAGTGGGCGGAACTAATGCGCAAACGACAAACTCATTGGCTGGCACTCACCTATTATCGTCCATGTTTTGATTTCATCAAATCAGTTTAAGCGAACGCACACAACCTGATTAATATTCATGAATCCAGCAGCTGATTAATCCCATAGATAAATATACGTAGATGCCTCATTAGCGACTCTTCTATTACTACATGGCCGCGATACGTAAGCCATCCGCCATTTTTGGTACGGTCTGCGAACCTGAGAGCGCGTTGACGGTGCGCTTACAACAGCAAGTTATACACTTGTATATCTTTGAATATTCATTGATTATTATGGTGAATGACTTCAAGTTGACCGTTCCAAGATGGCGGACGCGTCAACGTATATCTGGAGTGGTCGAATAGGGTATCTATACATATCTATGGTTAATCCTTAGTGCGTTTTATATTGTTCCTAGTAGAATTCATAGTATTATTATTATCATTATTATTATTATTACTACTACTACTATCTTATCAGTATTGTTGTTAGGTTTTTCCCATTTTTTTTTTTTACAGAAACACTGAATGACCAAAAAAGCACCACCACCAGTCCTAAGTTCAGTTAAAATGACTAATATGCATTCATACATGGTTACCAGTTTTAATTTCATTGAATAATACTTGATTATCATAATATAAGTATAATGCTTGACTGACTGATGTTAAGAGTGTAATTTCGGATATTTAAAAAGCTGTTCTTAAACTGAATTAGGCTAATATTTATTTTAACTATAATAATCAACACTTAAAAACATTTTTTTAAATTAACTTCTAAATTATAAATGTTCTATTTGTTGCTAAAATAATAATTTGGAGTCATAACTTGTTTCATAAAATATTTATTTAAACATATAGCCTGCATTAAATAATTAAGACATCACTAACAGGTAAAGTAAATATAATGAAGTAGGCCTATAGTCTAATATTTTCCAAAATGCTCTTGACTAGACTACAGCAGATAATGAGCTGTAGACAGTGATGACTTGCCTGATGCGTGATATTTTCTTTACAAGTTGTTTTAATGACGTCTTTCAATGGTTGAAACACTGATTGAGTGATTACGTCAGGGGTGAGATGTTCATTCATGTATATTTCGCGTTAAAACTAGTAGGCCTAATAAAGATGAAGGGGTGATCATGCTCACTCGCTGCCGTTAGTATACGGCGATCTGTCGCGCCACATAAAACAGCGTCAAAACAGTATGTATTGTCTGAATTTCCTGAAAAAATGGAAAGATTTGTTCAGTACACCTACTTACCGAACCAAAAGACCCGTACCAAAAACCTATTGGTAAGGGTGTCCTGTTGCTGCATATTGCATCATCTACAACAGTAAACTAAAATAGTGACTAAATAAATAACTATTCTGGGGTGTGTTTCCCAAAAGCAACTATGGTTGAAGGTTCAGTTCACTGAAACTTGAAACCATAGTTGGCCACTGATGTTTTTGGGAAACACACCACTGGTTAAACAAACCCTGCTTCAAAAACTTTGCAAATATTTTTTCAAATGAATGGTTCGGAGACTGTATCAAACTGATTTCAACATACAAAGCTTTGTTACGTTATACCACATTATTGATTCAGCTCTTGGTTAACATTAACCAGCAGACTGGGCAGCCTGGGTGAAGTATTTTCAGAGATGAAGCAAGTTATTACATTTTGATGAAAGATTCCTAAACAAGCATAACTGACCATTATGAATCATTCACCATTAAATTAAATTAAATAAATTTTAACGTATATTAAAGTAAATAGTGTATTTTGATGTACCTCAAACACGACCCCATTATGCACTTATTTTCCAACTAGCATCCTCTCCCTCGCTCTCTACATGTGCCATCCAAACACAATCAATCCCATACAACTTAGCCAGCCTGCATCTGTTACTGCCAGTGAAGCCCACTGTAATATTATGCACACTGACAGATATGCTTACACTTCACTTGAACCGTTTGTAAGGATTCTCATTAACGCAGGGCCTCCATTTCTACTGTTCCTATAAACAAGGCCACATATATTATTTTTCAAAACATTGCATTATTCAGTATGTGTATGTGGCGCTTGGCCATCTTTAGAGTGTTTTATTTAGCAGCGTTGCTGTTGGTCGTGGATTTGGCCTTTTAGTAGTTGCAGCATGATGAATCTATAATGTTCTGTAGCACTATCTTTAGTCGTCATGTTGCATAACCAGCAGTGGGTCGGTTGTTGGCAGCTCAGGCTATATGTGAATCAGCTCTGCAGTGCTTCCAAACATGCTGTTATGCTTTAATTCCGAGTTGTCGTTCTTGCACAGGCCGCTTCATCGGGAGGCAGTAAAGAGTCTAACACGCACAAGGACGACGGAGTGTTCAAAGCTCCAGCTCCTCCTCCCAAAGTCATTAAGTCCGTCACTGTCCCTACAGAACCTTACCAGGACATGGTCACTGCACTCAAATGTAGGAAAGAACACAAGGAGGTTAGTGCAAATACTTCACACATCTGATTTGACACATCACCATCACCATCTGATTTGACACATGTAGAGCCTTGCTGCTTAGCGTGCAAATTATGCATATTGTCTACTACTTTTTCAAAACAGCATGCTACACAATGCAGTATTAAACATTTTGGATGTAGTATGCTTGCTGTCACTTTAATTCAATAAGTGATATTTAGTTATCATTATCTTGGGAATAAAAATGGTCATTTTCCAATTTTTTTCTTTCCCCCCTTCTGAAAAAAAAGACTAATCTATATTAAGTACAGAGATTGCTGAGTTAAAAGATTTGTAATGCACTAAACATTTGAATATTTGGCAACTTTATACTAAAGGCCCGAGCTGGAGCCAATTAAATTTGAAAGTCAGTGGCATGGAACCAATAATAAAGGCAAAAAGCTTTAATCTTAATATGCATACAAAGTAGTGCAGCTGTTTTTCAATGAATTTTGAGTTTGAAAGTCTCAGTGGCAGCATATTGAAAACGCTGGCATGATCATAAGGACTGTTATAGTAATACAAAAAGATCTTTTTGATGGGGTCCAGAAAGCACTGATGTTCTGTGGAGTAATTCTGACTGTGTGTGTTAAACAGTTGTTCAGGCCCACCTACGTTACAACCCTCACCTCTTTCTCTGCCCATTGAATCGCTTTTCATCTAAGCTGTAAGCCGTTCGGATTGTTTCCAGACCACCCTCATTTTATTATAACTCTGTTTTGTGGTCTTTATGTTTGACTGCAGGCTAACATTATCAACGAATAATGAAAAATGAAGCGTAAAGTAATATTTGCTGGCCTCGTGAGATTAAATTTCTTTGCGTGCGCTGTGTGGAACGAAGTGTAATCTTCTCCAGGCAGCTGACTTTTAAATAATTATTTATTATATTTAACATAATTTGACAGTAATTAGAGTAGATATTTTTGTGGTTTGTACCAATTCCAGTAGGGCTGGTCAATAAATGTTCGATATAATGTTTATGCACCAAAAGCGGAACGAAAGAGCGCTAGTCATTTGAACCACGACACACGGGCCATTTATCCACTCTGCTCAAAGTTCAAACGGTAGCACAACACGTAGACATGTATCAAATATATTAAACACAATATTATTACAGTATTTTTTTGTGATTAAGCTATGCGTTTGTGCATTTATACTCAATGTATTTAGACTACTGTTTTTCATACAAATAAATAAAAACTAGGGCTGTGCAAATAATCGAATGTGATTTTTCATGCACATCTCATCAGTAAAGCCGGTTCTGTGATTAGTAGTAAATCTCCAGCACGTGCGTTCAGATGGAGCGGCATTTACTACACAGAGCCGTAGATCACTGACAAGCTACGCAAGCTTTACTGACGAGATGCGCATGAAAATCGCATTCGATTATTTGCACAGCCCTACTAAAAACCATGTTGTAGTTTTACTGTGGTATTGAGGTGCTATATGTCTGGTTTTAACTGTGGTTATCATGATCTAAATGTATGCTACTATAGAAGACCACTGGTTAATTAAAAAAAATAAATAAAAATTGATGAGTCAGAATAATACAATTTCACCATATAAAATGAGGTAGCTACAATTTTTTTGTTACTGATTTTGATAATGAACAAATTTACATCTGCATCCTAACTCAAGCTACTACTACTATAAAATGTGCATTTCTAAGAGACAAAAAGTAATAGTATTTTTAATATTAAAAGGGCAACACAGACCTGTTTCTTGATTTGAAACATCATCACTCCATTAGAACATGCAGAAACTAAGAAATTTCTCTATTAAGATATTTAAGAAAAATTGTCTGGTTTCAAAAACTTTTACTTTGGAGCAAAAATCTGGCTTTAAACTTGAAAGAAATTAAGATTTGATATCTATCGTGATAATTATCGATATCAACTGATATGAAAAAAAAATAATTATCGTGACAATTTTTTGACCATATAACTCATCCCTAAATTCCAGTAAAATTTCACAATTTTCACTACCATAATCAAAAACTGTTGGAACTATTTTATTTAACTATTTAAATTCAATTCAATTAATTAAGTAAATACAAATTTGGCATAATGTAGCTTTCAAATATTGATAAGTAAACATTGTTTAACAAGATCAAGTAGAAATTTGTGACAGGTGCATTTACACTCTTAACAACACTTTTGACAAACAGTGTCAGATATATTTTTATTTTTTTAAGATTCAATCCTGCATTGAAACCGTTGTCGTCAGTCCTGAAACATTTCTGCATGCTTAGCAGGATGAAATATAAATCTTATCCAAATTGTGAATGGTTATATAAACTGAAAGTGAGCGTTCTCTTTATAATCACTGAAACTGAAAAGGCCAGACTGTTCATCAAAGAATATTTTCATCATGAGATTAAACACTTGGTTTCTCTTTCTCAACAGTTGTTCACCGTTGTTCAGCACGTGAAGCACTTTAATGACGTGGTGGAATTTGGCGAGAATCAGGAGTTCACCGATGACTTTGAGTATCTTGCCACTGGTCTGAAGACTGGTCAACCCCTTAACACACGCTGCCTTAGGTGCAGAAGCCATTCCATCAGTGTATATGGCCTAATGTTTGTATTTGCAACAGGCTCAGTGTTTGCTCATTACGATTCTGTTGCGTTTGTGTGCAGTGTTATTAGTTTGGCCACACGGATACTACTATAAAATGTGCATTTCTAAGAGACAAAAAGTAATAGTATTTTTAATATTAAAAGGGCAACACAGACCTGTTTCTTGATTTGAAACATCATCACTCCATTAGAACATGCAGAAACTAAGAAATTTCTCTATTAAGATATTTAAGAAAAATTGTCTGGTTTCAAAAACTTTTACTTTGGAGCAAAAATCTGGCTTTAAACTTGAAAGAAATTAAGATTTGATATCTATCGTGATAATTATCGATATCAACTGATATGAAAAAAAAATAATTATCGTGACAATTTTTTGACCATATAACTCATCCCTAAATTCCAGTAAAATTTCACAATTTTCACTACCATAATCAAAAACTGTTGGAACTATTTTATTTAACTATTTAAATTCAATTCAATTAATTAAGTAAATACAAATTTGGCATAATGTAGCTTTCAAATATTGATAAGTAAACATTGTTTAACAAGATCAAGTAGAAATTTGTGACAGGTGCATTTACACTCTTAACAACACTTTTGACAAACAGTGTCAGATATATTTTTATTTTTTTAAGATTCAATCCTGCATTGAAACCGTTGTCGTCAGTCCTGAAACATTTCTGCATGCTTAGCAGGATGAAATATAAATCTTATCCAAATTGTGAATGGTTATATAAACTGAAAGTGAGCGTTCTCTTTATAATCACTGAAACTGAAAAGGCCAGACTGTTCATCAAAGAATATTTTCATCATGAGATTAAACACTTGGTTTCTCTTTCTCAACAGTTGTTCACCGTTGTTCAGCACGTGAAGCACTTTAATGACGTGGTGGAATTTGGCGAGAATCAGGAGTTCACCGATGACTTTGAGTATCTTGCCACTGGTCTGAAGACTGGTCAACCCCTTAACACACGCTGCCTTAGGTGCAGAAGCCATTCCATCAGTGTATATGGCCTAATGTTTGTATTTGCAACAGGCTCAGTGTTTGCTCATTACGATTCTGTTGCGTTTGTGTGCAGTGTTATTAGTTTGGCCACACGGAGCGCCATGCCCAGTTTCAGGATGCACCTGAGGGCTCGTGGGAAAGTGGCTCAGGTCTTTAAAACTCTCAATGATGCACCTCAACATTCAGTAAGTCAAAAGATGTTTGGACTTTTCTGAAACCTTCACTGCCTGATGTCTTATGTCTAATCGATTGTACTTCCTGTCCTTGCCCCTTTCCTCAGAATCTAGCTCTATGTACGGCCTCTCTGATGTACATTCTCAGCCGAGACCGTTTGAACATGGACCTGGATCGGGCCAGTCTGGATCTAATGATTCGTTTGCTGGAATTAGAACAGGACAAATCCATTGCTGATCAGCTAACGACAAAAGAGATGAATAAAGTAAAAGAAAAGATTCGCAAACTCTGCGAAACCGTCCATAATAAGCATCTCGACTTGGAGAATATCACGGTAAGCTCGAGATCAGTTGTGCTTTATTGGCTGGTGTTTCTTGCTGCAGTGCGGTAGTTCTGTTTGTTTACATCTGCAAACTTTCCTGTCAAGGATTTGCACTTTTTTATTATTCTGCTTGTGTGATAGACCATGTGGATGAGGGATTGTGTTCATTTGTGGTTTTTCAGAAAGGTTCAATTTCTGCTCCCTCTAGTGGATACACTTCATTGCTTGTGTTGTACATTCTAAGGATGTTTTCAAAAATGTGTCAGTCAGTGGATTGTTCCAACAACTAGTCACAACAACTGTTAAAGAATAGTTCATCCCAAAATGACATTATATTTTGTCATTTACACCCCCTCCCATGTCATGCCCAAACCCTTATGATTTACTTTCTTCTGCAGAACATAAGGATGTAGTGGCCCATTTTTTTTGCCAATTATAAAGAATGTTGACTGGTGTTTTTAAGCTTTAGAGAAAGTTGTGATTTGGTGTATCTTCTGCAGCTTTACAATAACTTTGTGTGAAGAACTGACAGAAATTGTATTTATTCACTGAAAATCTTGTCACCTTTTACAATCAGTCAATGGATCTGTTGTAATAGGAGTCGATCAGTGAATCAGTTAATTTGGTTCACAGTGCTGGTTTTATGATTCAGATCAGCTGATTTATGTATTGATTCTAGGACAGCGCAATAAATTGTATTCTAATCTTTACAAGATTTCTGCTTTTTGATTTATTACAAATCGTCTGCGACATTTTCCCACTGGTGGGTTGTCCTCAAGAGATTATTTATTTATTTTATTATATTAGCATTTCCGTTGTCTTGCAATGGTAACAAGCCTCCACAAGCTTTCATGGTTACGGTTGCCAGATGTTAGGAGTAAAGATCCCCCAATCAGAGTGTTTCTCTTAAATTGATATCAGTGCTGGGCATAAGTTTTTGTGTGTATAATATATGTGTGTACTATTTATTATATATATATATAAATACACATACATGCATGTATATATTTAAGAAAAATGTTATGTTTATATATTAAATATATTTATATGTAATATAAATTATATGAATATAAATATATACATGTAAATATTTTCTAAATATATACTGTATGTGTGTCTTTATATATACATAATAAATATACACAGTACACACACATTTCTCACAAAACTATTGGATGCGATTAATCATTGCCCAGCACTAATTGATATATTTTCTTCCCAACCATGATTGCGCGCTCTCTCTGCATTATGGAAAAAGCGCTAAGAGGCTGAACCCCCCCCCCCAAGAAAACATTATTTT